AGCTCACACTTTGGTGAGTCAGTGTGGATGCGGCAGCCAGTGAGGCCCTTCCCCTCGGTGGCCCCACTAGAGAAAGCCATTCCTAATGATTGACAATCAGCATTTGCATCCAAATTGCCAAGCCTAGTTGTCTAAAGAAAGGTGCTAAGAAGTTAAGAATCTGGGTTAAAGCCCCAAATGGGCCAATTAGCTTCACGCAGAGAAACCTGCAGCTCAGCTCCACCCACAGTCCTCCCAAGGGTTAGAAAGGAGAGAGAGACAGAAGTAGGAGTAACAGAGACTGACTCAGTCCAGCTCAGCACACTGTGGAACAACTCCAAGAACAGTGCCACTGAGAGGCTCCCCCCGTCCTCCCCCAAATAATCATAACCAAGCCCTGGTCAAGACTCACTCTGCATCCCTCTAGAGGGATAACAGGAGGATCTTCACTGTTCTAAGTTAGCCATTTCCTCCTGAACATGAGTCCCCACAGCATCCAGCACAGTTCCTTACACACAGTGCTGTGCAATAAATATCTGTTGACTGACTACATTTTGAAATAAACATCAGTCTATTACTGTTCATTTAATCTAATGAGTTATGCTAACATCTCTATTAAATCGGTTGGAGTAGGTTGGCTCATGTAATGATGTATTTATGGTACAGTGCTAAAAATTCTGTCAAAAGTTTGAAAATTTAAAAAAAATCAATTATTATATTACTTTAAATTTTCACTCAACATATAAAGTAGAACAAAATAATGATTATGTTGGTTTATTTTCAATATAGAAAACTATCTAGAAGGCATTAAAGAACTCTTTGGGCTCTGAGAAAGTCCAACAGGCAAAAGAAATAAAATCAACAATTTGACAGGCTAGACACCATTAGGACTCCCCAGACTGGGGGGTGTCCAGCTAGTTTAATCTCTTCCAGCCTCATTCACGCTTTCCAGCTGTGCACAGTGAGGGCATATACTGACTCATTCCGTCTGCCTGCTGCACGCAGTGCCCCTTGGGCTGGCTTTGCTGCCACCAGTGGAACTCCTGCACTGTGGAAGACACTCCAAGTGACTGCTTTTGTCTTAAGAAATGCAGAAGTGAGCTTTTATATGTAACAAGGATTCTCTTAACTGATTCAGCATACTTCGCACATTTGATCTGGGAAGCTTCCCAAATGAAATTACATTGAGTTATGCTTTAAAAACTGTTGCTGCTAGGAGAATGCAAGCTCTCGTGCAAATATCAGGCTTCTAGCACCTTGTACGAAGATACCCTTCCAATTCCTCTGCACCTCTGTTTCCTGTATGGCTCTGAAACCCAGACAGCAGAGATGGAAAGTGAATTCTGGCAGCCTAAGTAGTGACCCTCTCCCACGTTTCCTCCCCTCTGCACCCCGACAAAATGCTTTTTGAAGTCAGAAGGAGCTCCCTAGGAGGTGAGGGCTGACTTTGGCAGCCAGCGAGCAGTAATGTTCAGCTACTTAACACTGGGCCACATGTGGCAGCTACAAAAACATCACTGGGATGTGAAATCTACTACTTACTTCTCGGTATTTCCCTTGCCCTCAAACCTTTTCAAACCTAAGGAACTATGGGAGCAGATGAACTTGGGGGGAGGGTGGGGAAATGTCTTGTGATTTTAGCCCATAATTTGTATTGTATAATAAATCTTGAAACCATGTTCTGCTGTTTTTATTCCACATTGTCCCATGAGTCCACAATCTCGGGCTGCAAGAGTGTTGCATTGAACTCAAAGCCCAGTGGCACAGGGGAATTAGAAAGCTGGCCACTAAAATATTAGGTGTTTTACATTAATTGTAAGTCAGAGGAAATATATGTCAGAAGAGGCCTCCAGGTGTCTTTCCCAGGCTTGGCACTGGACTTACTGAAGTCACTCCTGAGTAGAGCTTCCTTTAATGTGTGGATGAAGGTCTGTGTGTATTTGCCCAAGACAATCTGGGGCCAGTTCTCTTGTTCCTCTTTGCCCTGGTGAGCTGCAGATTCAAGTCCTGCTGTTTTATGTGAGGAATCAACTATAAAATGATTGGTGGCTGCAAATGTCAGGCATATGTTTTCTCCCCAATGCCAACAGTTGGGCCAGACAGATGACCTGTATGACCTTTGCTTCCTCTGAGATGTCAAGACGCTAGCCAGTGATTCTGTGATGCTGAACATGGAGGAAGGAACACCACAGGACACAGCAGAGTGTGGCTATCCCAGCAGAAGCCTTGACATCAGACAGACCCGGTACAAGTCCTACTTTACTCATTCATGAATCCCATGAACTCATCTTCTCTGAGCCTCAGTTTCCTCACTTGTAAAAACAGGAATCATAGGGATAATGTACCTCCTTATGGGAATTAAATGAGATCATGCATGTTATACATGTAGCATGGTGCCTGACACATAGTAAATGTTCAATAAATGCGAGCTCTCCTTATTAACATTATTAACTTTCAACCCCAGGGCACTGATCTACACACTTTTCTCCAAAAGGGACAGAGCTTAAGTCATCACAGCTGGAACACAGATGTGGGGGGGGGGGGGGAAGCAAACGGAATCTGTCTCTCCACATGGATTCCAATTTCACTCCTTCATAAAGCAGTATGAATCCGGCACATTACAAGGTAATATAGGTGTTTCTGATGGCAGCTTCCTCCAGGCCAGACAGAAGGAAAACGTCAACTTCCTCCAGTCTAGAACAATCTAGCCCTGCTTTGATTAGCTTTATTCACTCAACAAAGATCTATCAAGTAGGTATTAGACTTTGAGAAAAGGGTGGTAAAAGACAGAGCTTGCAGTCTGGAGAGGGGCAGAGGTGGTACCCAACAGAGAAATGGAGGACCAGGAGGGGCTCTCGGGAGCTGAGAGTTAGGCTGAGACCTGGAGGAAGGGACCAGAGTTGCAGGCAAACAGTACATAAGGACTAGAAATAGGAAAGGGAACTAGGAAGATCAGGAAAAGTCAATCAGCCACAGCAAACATCTGGGGATAGCTGGTGAGTCACCCATGGTCAGGGACACCTCCTTTCAGAAACGTGCACACGGAGATCATTCTCTTGCCTGTCCACAAAACTCTGAGAATATAAGCACCCAGCAACATTCAGAACCTTCTTAGCTATTTGCTAGTTTAATTAAGACATTGTCTGTAATGAAACTGACTTCAAACAGACCCAAATCATAAGAGGTCTCAGAACTTTGCACAACTGGAAAATTACCAGTGGGGTACCATTCCCCTGCATCAACTCAGACAAGTAAGAGAGCTGGTGGGGTGGGGGTGGAGGGTGGCTTCCACACGCCCTTTTCCCTGCTTTCTCCACAGCTAGCTCCTTGCCTTGGAATTCAAGTCATTAACAGGTACAGAAAGTCTAAGTTGTACATTAATTACAGTTAGGCAACTGAGAAATTTGAACTAGACTTTTCCCTGCACATCTCCACTCTTCTCCCATTCCTCATCCAAAACCTCTTCCTCTGAGACGCTTCAGCGGCAATAATTTCATGGCCCTGATGACAAATAAGGAAGACCCAGAGTGGGCGATGGGTAATATCTGACAGCCATTGAATAGTATACCTGGAGAACAGTGGCCTCTCAGCGGGACTGGGACTAGGCGAGGTACCGAGAATGCAAAATTCCGGAAGGCACTCACTGTCCAGTCCTGTAAGACCCGCCGACACCACGAGCCAGTGCCTGCTGGTCCCTCTGGGCCCCTCGGCTCACGCTGGGAGTGGCCTGCCGGGTAGATCCCACTCTCACCCACAGCTACAGGGGGTCGTCGCTGCACTGTTTGCCATGGAGAACTGCTCACAAACAGAAGGAGAAGTGTATCTGGGGAAGGCTCACTGCTTGAGGGCTGGAGCGGAGGGAAAGAGGCAAGACGAGTGTGAAACAACACAGCCTCTTCTAAAAATGGGACGTAAAGAAATCCGAAGGCCGCTGGGCTGAGGCAAACCAGGAAGGAGAGCCACACCGAGGCCAAGGTTTCGACTGTAACCAAGGAAACAAAGAGTCATTTCATACCAATTAAAGGTAAATCCACCAGGAAGATCCAACAAAACCAAACCTTCACTCCATGAAAAAACAAAGCATCAAACATATAAACAAAGGTTTTTTTCTTTTCTTTTTATCCTCACCTGAGGACATTTTTGCATTTAGCTTCAGACAGAGCAGGAGGGAGAGAAGGGGAGAGAGAGAGAAATATCGATGTGAGAGAGACACATTGAGTGCCTGCCTCCCGCATGACCCCAACCTGGGCCAGGGACAAACTGCAACTGAGGTACGTGCCCTTAGTAGGAACCGAACCCAGGTCTCTCCGGTCCACAGGTCGATGCTTCAACCGCTGAGCCAAACCGGCCAGGGCTAAATGCATTTTTGAAAATATAAGAGAACTGAAAACCACAGCTCCCAGAGACTGACAGGTAAGGTATATAAAAATAAGAATGTAGAGTATTGGAAAACACAATTAGCAAGCTTGACTTACTAACCAGACTTAAGATACTTTTCATAAGGAGGGGTTACACTTTCCTTTTAAAGATACATGGAATGTTTACAAAAATTAGCAGTGACTACAAAGGAAATCTCAACATATTACCCAACATGGAAATCATACAGGTTCCATTCATTAGCTATATATAAAACAAACAAACAAGAAATGTAAACTGAGGCAAATGTTCATCTGAAAAAGCAAATGCGTGAGAACTTAAAATTTGTTTTGGAAAAATAAAGAAGACTTAACAGATATCAAAACATACTATAAAAATGTCTGTAGTCGTAGTTGTACAGAGGACCTCCTTTCCCCCCACCAAGAAAACACCCATAACTGTTTAGTTGTAACCTGTCGGGACTGGACCTGGACAATGGGGGTCTAGAGAGGACAGCAGAAAATGGAGCAGTTTTACTTTTCACCTTTGTACTAGTTTTCTATTGCTGCTGTAATAAATTGCCACAAACTTGGCAGTTTAAACAACACAAAATTATTATCTTACAGTTCTGAAGGTCAGAAGTTCAAACTGGGTCTTACTGGGCAAAAATCAGGGTGTCAGCAGGGCTTCGTTCCTTCTGGGGCCACAGGGGAGAATCTGTTTCTTGCCTTGTCTGTGACAGGTGGTGACCCGCGGTCCTTGGCTCCTGCCTCCATTACTCAG